TACACTACTGCTGTTGCTCTTTTTGGTGAAGGTGCGGATAAGAAGGAGGTGTGGTTAACCATTGATCCAACTATTTGTGAGAATTGGGTCAAGACTATTGGAGCACATTATGGAATGTTTCGCTAAGTAGATGTTTTGAATGTTTTTTTTTGGATAACTAGATGTTTGGTTTGAACTAGACGGTTTTTTTGGATTACTTGATGTATGGTTTGAACTAGATGGTTTTTTTTGGATTACTTGATCTTTGGTTTGAACTATATGACAATAATGAGTTGATGTTTTGGATTACTTGATGTTTTGGATTACTTGGATGAATTTTTATGTTATATGTTGTGATTATAATTGTTATGTATTTTCAAAAAAACATTTTTCCTTTTACTATATTGCTGTTGGTTGAATCTAGCATCCAATAGAATTGGAAGGGCTATTGATAATGATTCGGAAATAAACGGTCATCAACATACACAAGAATTGCTACATGGAACTTCTACACAATGTCATGAGCTGATGCGTCTTTCACGTGAAGCATATGTACTTTTATGCAATCATTTTAGACGAAACAATTGGTTGCAAAGTAGTAGGCATATAAGCGTTGAAGAAAAGATGGCTATGTTCTTGACAACTATAGCACATAATAAACGGTTCAGGATTATCAAACGAAGGTTTCAACACTCCACAGAAACAGTTTATAGATGCTTTCATGAGGTGCTAAATATAATGATGATTTTGCAAAAGAAGTTATAGTGCCAACTAATTCAAATGCAACCGTGAATTCCTCAGAGAGACATCGTAGGCTAAAAGAAATCTTTCCTGGAGCAATAGGTACGTTAGATGGAACTCTTATACATGCAGTCGTGCCTGCTGATCAACAAACTCGCTACAGGGGAAGAGGAAAAGGTGAATGCTATCAAAATGTTTTAGGAATTTGTGATTTTGATATGATATTCACATTCGTATGGGCCGGTTGGGAGGGTATAACACATGATTCACGAGTTTTGAAAGAAGTTACATGTAACCCGACTTCAAGCTTTCCGTTCCCTCCTCCAGGTTTGTAATTCTTATTAATTTTATTCTAAAATATGATTTTAAATTTCTATATATAATATTTCCTTCACTCATGTGTATAGATAAATATTACCTTTGCGATGTTGCATACACTAATACTCGTGGATTTATGACTCTTTATCGCAACACGAGGTATTGGTTAGTCGATTATCGACGACGAAGTCCGTTAACTAAGGAAGAAAAATTCAATTATACACATGCGCAACTCAGAAATGTTAACGTGCTTACGGTGTTTTGAAGGCGAGATTCCCAATCCTAAAACGAATGGCTCCTTTTCCTTTTTTAGTGCAAAGAGATATAGTCGTTGCTTGTTTTGCAGTCCACAATTTCATAAGGAAATACGATATTCATGATCAGTTATTTATGGCGTTCGAGGAGAACAATGCTCAAGCACAAGGGAGAGAGAATGATGGATAAAACGTACACGATATGTAATATGGTTCACAAGGAAATGAATACATGGATAATTTGCGTGACCAGGTTGCGAATCAGTTGGGATAAAATAAAATTTGTAGGATTTTATTGGGATTTTATTATGATTTTGTGGATTTAAAAATATTTATGTTTGATTTGGATTTGTGTTTAATTTTGATTTATGATAAATTTGGATTTTATATGGTGTTTATATTTTTTAAATACAGATTTACGAAATTTATTAGGTTGTTTTCTAAATAAACAATTAAATTCAATAAAAATAAAACGGAAGGGTAAAATGGTTATTTTAATAATTCAGCACAGCAATTCAGAGGTACCAACCAAACAGCATGTTAAACATTCAGTTTTTAAAATTTCAAACCCTTTTAGAAATTCAAATTTCTTAAAAATTCAGATACTGTAAACAATCCCTAAAAAAGACATAATTTTTGTATTTGAAATTTATAATTACCGCTTATTTGATATGTGAATTTTGAACTTGTCAAACTCCTAACTAAGTGGGACATGTCTATCAGGTGAAATTCAAAATGTTTTATGTTTGAGCGTATTTTATAATATAAATTGTGTTTAAATGCATTTCATGATTTGCAAATGGAAAAAACCAAGCTGTTTCAATCCCTGAAGAAGATTGGGATGTACTCAAAGTTACCGGATGATTTTTTTTTTTTTTTTTTTTGGTAAATACAATGATTACTTATATAAGTTTGATTTCACTAAAAAAAGATAGTAAAAAAAGTACACGTTTATAATAATTTTGACCCATTAAGTTTTTTTTTTTTTTTTCCCCACAAATACGGGAGCAAGTCAGAGTGGAAAAGGAAGAAAATTTAAAAATTGCTTTCATTGAGAGTCGAACTCAAGACCTCCCGCTTACTAAACGGGTGCTCTAACCAACTGAGCTATGAAAGCGTTTTGTACATCGACTTCGGATAAACAAATACTATTAAATTTACGTCTTTCCTCCTGGTTGCAAAAAAGGCTACTATTCTTTTGTTTGGAACATCCATCTATGCAACATGATAACTGATCTTATACAACTCCATTTTTGAGATACAAATACCTTAAGCTTTTTGTCATCAAAATGCGTTGATTTCAAGGAACAAAATTGTACATATCTTGACAAACTTTTCCAAGTTAGACAAAATTACATAAATGACCATAAGATAGAATAGACCAACTTTAGTCCTTATGACAAATTGTTTGCATAGATGGTACTTCTGGTTTCAAAATATTGCAAAAACGGTTATTTAGGCTAACAGTGTTAAATTTTTCAGTTAAGTCATTTGTGAAATTACACATTTACCTTTCCTGTCATAAGGACCGTTTATGCAATTTGTTAAAGCCATAGGGACCATTATGTAATTTTGTCTATTATTTATTATCTTTATATTTATTATGAATTACTTTCTTTTGATGTTTTTTCTATTTTTTTTTCTTATATTTTTTTGATTTTTTTGTTCAAATAAATTTCTTAAAATTTTGACCCTTTATTCGAATACATGTAATATTATTATTTTTAATTTTTTTTTTATGTTTGGTTTGAATAAATTTAATTTATGTGTTGGTCGAATACGTTTTTAACATTTTTTGTATATTTTTCTATGTTTTGTTTTTTATAGGGTAATTGAGTAATTTAATCATTTTTGTATTGTAATTTTTTTTTTAAAATAACCACTTTTATTATTTTTTTATTTTTTGAAAAATAACAACTTAATACGGAATTCATATTAAACAAATTAGATCTAACCCTATATTGTGCTCCCCCTCTCAAAAACCCCCTATTCCATATCATGTTTGGATTTCTCTGTTTTCCTCTAAGTTCGTAGAATATCTTCTACCGGTGAAAAGCTCCAACATTTGTGGGTATGTGTTAATTTTTTGAATGATTATACATTCAAAATAAAGTTTAAATGTTTTTTCTATCATTATATGTGATTATTTAGAAATAGTTCGTTTATATTTGGTTTCGGAGGCTAATTTTGATTAATTGGAATTATTTTTTACAGTAGTACAGATTGGAGATAGTTCGTTTTACTTTGATTTTTTATAATTATATATGATTAATTCCAGTTAAACACAATTAACCACCGAAATCGAAGCAAAACGAATTATTTCTAAATAATCACATATAATCATACAAAAAACACATCAACTTTATTTTGAGCATATAATCATACAAACAATTGACACATATCCATAAATGTTTGAGCTCTTCATCAATAGAAGACATTTTTTAAAGTGGAAGTAGCCTGGAACAGAGAAGTCCAAAACATTGTATGAAAGTGATGTCTTGGACTAAGGGATCACAGTACCAAGTCAGATTTGACACCTTTAATGATACGGCCATAATGTATACATTGTTGACTAAGTGGTTATTTAAAAAATGCTGTTATTTTTTTTTATAAAAAACAATAAAAAATGTTTAAAAAAAGTAATAAAAAAAATATTATTCGAACAAAACGTCCAAAAATTTATTCGAACAAAACAAAAAAAAGTAATAAATGTACTCGAATAAAACGTCAAAAAAATTTAAGAAATTTATTTGAACAAAAATATCAACAGATATAAGTAAAAAAATATTAAATAAATTAAATAATATATTTGAAAAAAACATTACAAAATTTAATTCATAAAAAATAAAAATAAAAATAAAATAAGAAGATAACGAATAATCGACAAAATTACATAAATGGTTACTGTAGCATGAACAAATTACATAAATGATCCTTATGACAAGAAGGGCATATGAGTCATTTCACAAAAGACTTAACTAGAAAGTTAACACCATAGGTAAAAGGATCATCTTTGCAACATTTTGAAAGCATAAGGTTGATCTATACAAACAATTCATCATAAGGACTAAAATTGGTCTATTTTTTCAACCAAAAGGACTATTTATTAATTTTGTCCCAAAGTTATTTGGGATGATGAGCATGTGGACAACATTTATGTTGTAGGTTCAACAAAAATTACAAAATTTGTTCCATTGACACAATCTTAATATGATGGTACATATTTAAACATAGTACAATTTTATTATTTAGCAATGGAGGGTTGGTATTTGAGTTGACTTATACCAATTTATTGAATCAGTTGTTAGCTTACATAACACTTGATATATATTTTTACACCATAAGAATTTCATTGCACCAAAGTGTCGTTGGTCATGGCCATAAAGAGGTTAAGGGTTGATAAAAAAAAATGACCAATTTAAAAGAAATAAAAAAATAAAAAATTCATAAGAGCAATTTAGAAATTGTTTTTTTTTTTTTTTTTTTTAATCTTTTTAAGGTTTGCTACTTTGTTTGTCATAGGAGCAATTTAAAAGAAATAAAAAATAAAAATTTCATTGCTACTAAGATACAAAACTGTTGGTCATTTGTACTACTACAGTTCAAAGCAATTGCCAATTTTTCATAATTATTCGTTGGTTTAACTTTTGTCATTTATAATTTCAGCTTATAAGTTATAACTGGTTGGTTAAGATTGTTGTTTATTCTGATTCATATAAAAATAACCAATCATTACTCATACAACATTTTCTTCAAACAGATAAACCATTACTATAAACTTGTAATAATATCCTCTTCTTTTATATTTGAAGAATAAATCGATACAAAAAAAAAATGAAAATGAAAATGAAAATCTAGTAGGTTAATCCCAAAACTTAGGCAAATTACACTATAAAAATCATCTATACACCCAGCCTTCCCCCGCCCTTGTGAAAAGTACATAGAAGTAGAACAACACATACCGTCTTTTATGGGAATTCCCAAAACTAGCCTTTCGTCTAAGTCTCACATAGTCACATGAGGATGGTTGGGGGGAGGGTCATAACAGTAACTCTGTAAGCCAAATACTTTGAGAGACATATTATATGAGAATTAAGAGTTCAGAAAAGAATCTCTTTAAGGATTAAGAGAACCAACATAACAAAACACATGATCACTAGTACTGTCGCACACATTATCATCCCCCCTCTTTTCTGACTTCTTTCCGCCTACAAATTCATCGGAAAGATAATTACATATATTTTTTATGTATATAAAAATATATATATATGGAATATTAGATATAAAAAAAATATATATATATAGAACCTTTTGCAGCTGCTTAAGGCCTTCATCCACAGACGCTGCAACATTTTGAATATTGTGGTCTATCCTATCAACAATAGTTCCCTATTTTCACAATATAAAATCATCAATTATTTAAGCCCTATTTAGGACATGACACAACAGCATGTACTGTGTTTGGCATGCATTAAGACCGATGTCAATAGGACAAAATTTACAATTTTTTTTTTACTACCCCATAAAAAGGTAGAACAACTTGTTCTTGGTAAAAAGACAAAAATGCCCTCCTAATCCTCATCATCAAAAATAGCCATAGAAAGCTTGTCTAGTCAAATTCAGTCCCGTGTGATACACGGGACAATACTAGACAAGCTTTCTATGGATATTTTTTTATGATGAGGATTAGGAGGGCATTTTGGTCTTTTTACCAAGAACAAGTTGTTCTGCCTTTTTCTGGGGTAGTAAAAAAAAGTTGTAAATTTTGTCCTATTGACATCAGTCTTAATGCATGGCATGCATGCCAAACACAGTACAACCTGTTTGTGTTTGTGTCTTGTAGACTATGTAAGAAACGGGGTGTTAGAGGGCAAATTTGTAAAAAGCATGCTGCTGACCTGGTCGATGACAAGGACAGAAAGATCCTTCATGATCTGAGCGAGCTCGTTTACTGATTCCACAACCTGTTGAATCTCTTTCTCCCTTTCCACTGTGAAAGCCTCACTTTTCTTCAACTTTGCCATTTGATGTTCATTGAAACCCTAAACAAACATCATTTTAACCTCTTTCAAATAAATAAGGACAAATTTTGTAAAAAAATTACGACTTAATTGGTCATTTCCCTCACTTTCTCTATTAACTCATTAATTATATTCAGTCAAGTAATAACATAAAGGAACTGGAATTATAAATTTATAACCATATAAACACACCATAAATAATTATTGAGTAAATAAAAGAAAACAAATATATATGTACCACGTCATCAAACTCATCATCATCATCATCTCTTCTAGAATGCTTTCCATTTAAATTCATTTCTAGATCAACCCCATCTGGACCCTACAACAACACAAAGTAACACCTATCAACAAATAGTTTCTCAAGCATAAAAAGAATAGTGTTACTTTGATCAAATTTATGTGATTACACATTATATACTTTTTCTGACCATTTAAAAAAAAACATTTCGGTTTTAGAAAAGGTCTGAACTTTTTTTTTTTTTTTTGAGTAAATTACATTTTCGGTCCATGGCTTTGTTCAAAAATTTTCAGTTTTTGTCCCAAATATTTTCTTTTGCAAATTTGGTGCCTATTTTCAATCATTGTAATAATTTTAGTCCCAATAGGCACCAAAATTGCAAAGGGAAAGTGGGAAACTACTAAAATTACACCTTTTGAACAAACTCAGGAACCAGAATCATCATGACAATTGAAAATAGACACTAAAATTGCAAAAGAAAACTATTTGGTACCAAAACTACAAAGTTTGAACAAACTCAGGGACCAAAAATGTAATTTACTCTTATCTATTTTTTAAATGACTATTGTAATACTTCAGTTGCTAAATTGATAAAATTGTAAAATTACATTGTGTTTTTCTGTATTTTTCCTTGATATCAAAATCGGGTAACCAGAAGAAAAAAAAAACGGTTTTTTGAACAATCGGAAAAAGTATAAATATAATCAGTATAAAAAATAGTTAATTGGCTGAAAATTAAAGATAGAAGCTATTACTGAAAAGTTATAGAGGAGAACAATAATATAAACCATATGAATTTAATCAGATGATTCAAATATTTTTTTATAAAGTAATACTAAATTTATATAAATTTAAGAGTGGAGAGACCTCTTTTTGCTGTTGAAGGCGCTTTAAATAAGTAGATTGCTTTTTCCGGAGTTCCATTGAAAGACTCTGAAGATCAGTTGCAAGAGAACGCTGCCAAAAAAAATAATTTAGATGTAAAAGTGTATTTTAGGAAAATAAAGTTGTGATTCATTTAAAATTGTGGATATTTTTTAAAAATGATATGTGTTGTTATAATATTACATTCATAAAAATTGGTTATATTGTAATTTTCATTCCATTCCATGATGGAATGAAAATTAACAAAATGGAAGGAATCACATTCCTTCTAGAATGTTACATTCCATAGTATTTTTTTTTTTTTTTTTAATTTCAATGGAATCAACATTCCTTGATTCCATTATGCCAAATGTACAATGGTTTAAATAAATAAACTCAGGCACATTTCTTCAGAAACAAAAGAATCTATGATGAATACTGAATACACATAACTTGTTTTATATTTTTCTTTTTCAACCAAAATCAGTATAAAAAGCTGGATTCTGACACAATTTTTATAATGATTTTTTATTCAGATTTAGTGGACAAAAAAGATATTATGTTGTGAGCAAAACTCCAAAGAGAACATTGAAGAAAAAGAGATAATTGGAAGACCTAACTGCAAATAAATACACACAAATATTATAAATCTTCAGGCTAAATGCAAGAAATCTCAATGTACTTCTATATATTAGTGATTTATAGCATCCTACTTTCATTTCTTTCTATTATATCATTGTACTTTTAATATTTCTTTTCTTATTATAGCAACAACAATTTCTTTGTATTTGGATGACATTACTATGAATTATGATTGGGAAAATTCATTAAAGTACAATTCTGTAATAGAAAGAAATGGAAGTAGAACACTACAATAAAATACAAGACAAATTACAGAAAACTCATTATATTTTGGGCAATTTGTGGTTTAACCACTTATACTTTACTTTTTTGCCAATCAAACCATTAAAGTTTCAACCATTTTTCCAATTTAACCATTTTAACCTGATATTAACTTGCAAAATAACCAGTTTCATATAAATGTCTACAACTTTTATTAACTGATTGGAAAAAAAATAAAAATGGAGTATTATTAGTGATTAAACCACTAAACTAGCAAAAATATTATGTTGTTTTTTTCCTTTATAATTTAACCATAACCAAATAAATGAAAGTGCATTGCTATTTCCTACATCTAAGCCTAAATTTCAAGCAATCACATGACAAATCTAAAGATGGGATTATAATGATACCTGCACATTTTTCCTAATATTTGAATCCTCAGAAGTCCCACCAGCAGATAATCTCTTTAATCTTTTTTCTGATTTTTTTAAAAGATCAGTAATCTCATGTGTAAGAGCCTCAATCTTGTGTTGATCTTCTTTTCCATCACCAAATGATGGCATCAAAGCCTTAGCATGTGCCTTTGCTAATTCTCCCATTTTAGCCCTTGCTCTTTGCACATTTGCTGTTATTTCATCAGATACATCAACCCAAGCAGGAGGAAGCCCCACAGTTAATGCACCTGCCCTGCAAAATCATAATAATCAATCTGTGTTTTTTATATTTTTACTTTTAAAACCACACAACACATTTTCATTAACTTCTATATTTTGAAACCCTTCAACAAATTCAAATGTAAAAACTTTAATAACCCTCAAAACACCATGACTCATAGGAGCCTAACTTCTCTTATCCTTGCACTTGGATTACATTGACATCTAAGGGGTTGTTTCTTTTTTATATTTGTTTTATTTGGAAATTGGAACGTAGGGGTAAAATGGTCATTTAGTTTCATTCAAACAGTTTACTCGATCTAGAAAAGAACCAGACCTTATGTATATGACACTTTATCTAGATACCCATTCAATCAATTTTCGCATACAGAACTTAATGCGGAAAAAAAAAAAAAAGAAAAAAAAAGAAACAACCCCTAAGAGGGTTTTGCATAACCAAGAATGTTGTTTAATCCATGAAGTTGTCCAAGATTCACAACTTCTTTCACAGCACTTCCTTAATATCTTGTCAATAAATGGGCATGCAACATAAGGAAGCTTAAACTTTCTTCTTCATCCCATGTCAGATCCTGCATCTTAACCTAACTCAGCATGCACAAATCTAAATGAGCATGCAATACAGCATTGATATCTAGAATGATCTCTGTCAGTTGGTGCAAACAGCTTTGATACTCATGGAAACATTAATGCTTTTCTCGAAGAAATCTTCCATTCTTTCACCTTGATTGAAACACTGGTTTTTCTCATGAATACCCGAAAGATGGGTATTTTCTCAGGAGAATAACCAAGTTTATGATATACTAAACCTCATATCAACCAGATCAGAAGCGTATTTTCAAACACAGCGAGCTAGAATTACTACTGTTAAGCAGACACATTTTTCTGTAGATAATTATGTACAGAAATGCAATGAGATCGTACAGAACCTATTTGATGTTAAAACCTAATGAACCGATCAACAAACAGATAGTTTGAATTTGAAATGGAGTTTCATATTTCATAAACACAGGAAAAAAAATAGATGAAAGATAGAGGAAACATACGAAGAAGTCCCGGGATCCTCGGTACTAAGAGGAGCATAAGAACTATTTTGTTTAAGCAAGCCGGCGTTGGTTAACTCAATCACCGCACCACCACGGGAGCTAGAAGAAGCTAATGAAGACGGAGCCCTAACGCTCTTCAATGCATCTCTATACTTCTTAAACAGAAACGTTCTGTTCCTTGTCGCCATTGAAGAAAAAACTCTCCCAACACAAAAATTGAAAAACAATAAGTGGATACCAAATGTATTCAGAAAACCAATACAATTTACAGATCGGAATCTATAACAATACAAGGCTGAATTATCTTGATTGGAGATCTGGGGTGAGCAGTTTGTGAGGATCTCTCTAATCTAATTCAATTGCTTATGTGCAGAGATTGAATCGAAACAATTATCGATAGTTAGCTGATCATTGGAGAAATCTGGAGATCGAGGGGAGTTAATAGTCATGAATTGCTGAAGAAATCGACCCAATTTCCCCTTTGTGATGCTTCTTCTTCTTCTTTTCCCCCTCAATTACTCTCAACCCCCATCGATTATGAGTTAGATGTCAGGTGCAGCCCCTTTTAGTTTTACAACTATAAATATGACTCTTAATATCACAAAATTCATAAATGCCTGAAATTAAGAGAAGTTTGTGTTAGAAATTGGACGTACAAAAAATTGAAAGTAATGATTCTACTATCAAATTAAAGTATTTTGATGGTAGAAACTGATAAAAAAAATTGATTTCGAACATAAAGAATGGAAGGATGTAATGTTCTTGTCGTACTATAATTCTAACAAAAAATGAATTACTAATGTGACGTACTATAATTCTAATAAAAAATGAATTACTAACCTATACAGCTGAAAACTAGCTAAACTATTACAAGGGAGTTTCCAAACTGTCACAAAACTGTTATAAACGATCATTAAAATCAGGTTCAAGATTAGGATAAAAAAATCGGGTCAATTTCGATCTCAGTCAGGGGCTCTGCCCTTTAGACCCTTCTACCAGGGACATTGCCCCCAGACTCTCGTAGGTTTAGGGACTTCATCCCTAAATGATAATGTATTTTGAATCTTGAACAAACTCAAACAAATGTGCACTTTGCATTACTCATATTTGTTCAATGTTTATCAAATTTGTATTTGTTCAACAAATAAATCCATTACACTTAAATAACATTGATAATATAATTCCCCAATGGTTTGTACTTATAAAACGCAATTATAACCATTATACTAACTTGTTTTTGGAAAAAAAAAAAAAAAAAACGTAATTGGAAGCACCGTAAAGCATCCTTCGAAGTTGATCATGTTCCGTTTACATCAATCACTTATTGAACTTTGGTAAATATTTAGGCAAAACTTTAAATGCTTATAGGTCCAAGATTATAGAAAATAATTTGGAAAATAACACATTAGCCCAAGAATGTTTAGGATTTGTCGAATTAGTCCTAAAAGTTTTTTGGTGCTTTTATAGGGGCATAAAGTTGATTTTGTCAAATCCAAAAAGTCATTTTGAACATTCTGAAGGGGCAACTCGGTTAACCCTTTTCCACATAGACACTTGTTGGTCTCTTTTTTCTTAACCTATATTGACTTTCAAAAGGCTAAAATTTTCTTATCCACGTATACACACCAACAAAGAACAATATTGCAACAAAATGGTGTTCAATTATAACGCTATTAACAATGATGAAAGCTTTACTCAGAGAGGATTCTCATCTGCCATGGTTGTCCATCAAAAGTAAGCAAAATTTAAATTTATCTCCCCCCGACTTGACGCTTTCAGTTACGTACTAAAGAGTCAAAATTGAATGAAATTGCAGCTACGTAGTCAACATATCATAAAACCTAACGTCACTGCTATGTGCATGAGTGACCGTGTTCAATCCGTTGAAACAGTTCATCAACTCCAACAAGGTTGTCAGAGCAAAAATTTTAGGATTGAGAGGAGCCGGACATCTAGGGATTTTGATCGCGAATGCGATGGACCACCATGCAAAAAATGATAACCTTTTCTGTAACAATTGGTTAAAATACTTTAGAATTAGTTGGTCAAGCCACTGCGAACCCGTCTACATTAGGACCTATCATTTGATTGTTCTAAGATATTATATGCAATTGAAGCTATGTCAAAATTGGTCAAAGTTGTCAGTCATTAGCAACATAAAACAATTCACAAAATCAGTACTAATTAATGCTCTAAAAATAATTTTTTTATGCATTGACTATATACTTAGGATTAATTTATGATTAAATTAGATAGATTATAATCTCAGGACTCCGTGGATATAAAGAATGTTAAAAATGGAGGTCATATGCAAAAGTTACGTTCATTTTAAGAAACCAAATCAGTATAATACTGACTTTCTTAATAAACGAAAACTGAATCGATCCGTTGAGGTACTTGCACATCTCATATGGAAATTTTGTGAATGTTTTTGAACTTATTTATAGGGATAGTATTTGATTTCATAATCACATTATTTTTAACCCAAAATACCCTGCAGTTATTTGATTACATGATATGTTAGAACAACATGCTAATACTAGGCTAGAGATCTTCAGAAAATGCATGATAAAATTGTCTGATTACATGATGCCTGCTAGCCTAGGGTTTTCCTTATATGAGATTGACATCATTACTGTAGTTGCTTGTGTATGCATCACGGTTGTATATAATTAAGATCTTATACCCTGAGAATGTTTGAGGAAATGTTCATCTAGTTATTAGAAGCGTGTGATCATTTGGGGTTAGCTAGTAAAGGAGTACTAGTTAGAAAGGTCTGGTTGTCATCAAATCGATCGTTGGAAAGTAAGAAGGATTGGGAATTCTCAAATTTCCATGTATTGTGAAGACTTAGTTGAATCTAAGTGGGGGAGAATCGACCTGGAATGCAGAAGCAAGATCGGTTTTGAAAATAGGATAAGTTTCGCATCGTTGTCAGGAAGGAAGACAACCCAAGTGACTGTTTGGTTTGAGGGTTGTGTGGGTTGGGAGTTCGGTAAGGCTCCCCAACTTGTGAGTCGCGTCTTCTTGATGCTTGATAGCATAATTTAGGGAAGTTAGGTTGGGTTTCTAGCCATGAATTAAGTTTAGTTGTGTGATAGGTCGAGTGCGTGTTCGACTGGTATGGAAAGTGTTGTAAGACTGTGGGGGTAGCCATAGCATTCACTAGAGATCAGGTAGTATGGAAAGTGTTGTAAGACTGCGGGGGTAGCCGTAACATTCACTAGCGATCAGGTGGTATGGAAAGTGTTGTAAGATTGCGGGGGTAACCGTAGTATTCACTAGCAGCAGATAGTGTGAGAAGTGTTGTAAGTCTGTGGGTGTAGCCGTAGCATTCACAAGGTTGGCAGATAGTATGAGAAGTGTTGTAACTCTGTGGGTGTAGTCGTAGCATTCACCAGGTTAGTAGATAGTGCTAGAGTGATGTAAGTCTGTGGGTGTAGCTGCAACATTCACTAGGTTGGTAGATAGCATGAGCATGTTATTAGGACACGGAAGGGACAGTAGTACCCACTAGTTCGAGTGTAGCAGTGAGGATATGAAAATCCACGGATTGGTTTATGGGTTTCCTCAGAGGGATTAGACCTGGTTAAGCTAGTGATAAGACTATAGGAACATCACTACAGTTATGAGACCAAGGAAGCAATGGATCGCATAAGGTTGCTTGTGATGTAAGGATACCATGGGTCATGTAGCAATCACTTTTAGCCGTGGATTTAGTAATGATGGGATTCGACGCATGGATCCGATCGGTGGGATCAAGAGGTTGTTAGAGTTGTAGTGACATGATAACTAGTGGCAACTAGTTCCAGGGAAGGATTTCGTGCGGAAGTCGGGTGAGGCAACTATGTGGGAGTCCTTTAGCTCCGCGACCGGGCCAGAACCCGGTATGTCATATGATTGGTGAGAGAATTGAGACCAGGGAGGTATTGGTAGATTTTGGAAAAACAATCATGTGGCAGCATACTGCTTGAGGCTGATCAGTGTTCAAACAGTTTCTGTGTTTAGGGTGGTATTGACGAATTGGGCCTTCAGGTGTATGAGAAGTATCTAGATGTTGGAACCCTAGATATCAAGAGTTGAATAGTTAGATGAGAGACAACTGGACTGGGCTTAACAATAATGATTTGGTAGGAGAGGTCTGTCAGGGAGCAAGACCATCTCGAGACTTCAGGTTTTGGATCTAGTAAATGTGATCATATTGCAAGGGATTCGTTTATTTTCAAGTTTTAGAACCCTGCAAGGGTTGGTTACGGTTTCCTTGGAAAGGCTGGGGTATGCTTGTAGTTATGGCCAAGTAGCTCCTGTTGTCTGGCGTGTAGAGAATGGTAAGAAGCGATTTTGAGGACGAAATCAAATTTAAGTGGTGGAGAGTTGTAACATTCTGTTAAAATAGAATAATCAAATAATAAACCTGAAACCCTGAGAAGTGATTTTTATTATTATCTTATATTATTCTAGTCGAAAAATCAAATAATAATTAATGAGGTGTTGGTTTCGGGGTGCCAAATGATATATTTTTCATTTTCGAAGGTTAAAGAGCAAATATCAGACTTTTTTTGAGAAGGATTCTTAAATCCATAGTAGAAATGGTAATTTATGGATCTTAATTGAGAATAATTTGTAGAAGAGGGGTTATTTTGTAAATGTTAGACTTATATTGAAAAGAATTATGGGAGCAAGGGTTTATTGGGTAAATTAAGGATTTGTTTTGAAAGAAAAGGGAGGAGGAGGGACCATTTCCATCAATATGGATCATAGTTTGTATGGAACGGGTATATAATTGTTCCATTGCCCATAAACCCTAACCCTAGCAAGTGCAGCCCCCATCTCCTTCACCCTCCGTCCTCAACTCCGGCGCCGCTACCTTCTTTCTGTCGAGTCGCACACCACCTCGGTTGGGGTCCCAAGCCACCGGAGCAACCAGATCTAGCTCACCCCTAACATCGGGGAAATGAAGTTGCGAGCAATGTTGCCACCGTTCGTTTGTTTGACTGCCTTCCAGACTTCACCGCCAACCCTTCCCATTATCGCCAACAAAGCTTGTTGTCGTTTCTGCACTGCCAACGTGAGACAACCAGGAAGACCGATGGTGCAAGGGATTGCTTATGACGCTGTTGTTCGGACATGGAAGCCCTCGCTGCCAGCTGTTACTCCGCCACCATAGCGAAACTGCCACTGTCAGAGACCATGAGGCGAGAATTGAACTCGATGTTGTCGTTATCTGTCGACCGACCGCCATTGCTGCCCGCCTCATTATGTCACCATAGTCGCCTTACGCCGCCAGGTGGGTGGCTAGAGTATATTCTGGAATTGGATGTGGGTGTGTGTGTTTTGTGTGGCTAGAAAACCAAGGCTGCCACCGTGTACCACCACCCGCTACCACAAGGGTGGTTGTGTGTGTGAGTGTATGCTTATATTAGTGTATGTGTGTGTTATTGAATTGTAAATTGTAACTGGTGCTCGAATAATAATAGAAAACTATAACCACTACCGTGAGGTGGTGGTTGTCGCCTCTTGCCGCCACCTGCCGCCAGGTTGGGTAGCGGTGTGCT